GTGAGATGGTGATTAGTCCAAATCGAGCCAGAGTCGAAGCTTGGTTGAGCCGGGCTTGCATCCAGCTAAAAATGTGCATTGATTTTTGTGTTATTGGTGTGCGCGCGTAGCCCTAGCAATATGGGTGTCCTTCCAGGCTAAATTTGACGTTCCGGACGTGTGGCACAGTCTGTTTCGTCATCAGGATTCGTCCAGACATGTTCAACGACGGTCGTGCCAAAAATGTGTCAGTTTCATGAGTGGTGTAGCAAGTGCGTTGCTGAGTCACAGAGAGTTCACCTAAGGTCGTCTGATCCTGTAGGAACTCATTTTCGGGCCCTCTACATACTGGTCCTTAGCCCTTGCAACTATAAGTTGAGACGACTTATTCAGATAAGCAAAGTAAACACATGAAACAAACACCTCAACTGTGTTTTCAAAATGCAAACACACCAAATAAGCTGCCCCAAATGGGGCCTAAGTTTTCCCTTCATATTATATAGTTTACTCATTCTAGGAGTAGGAGACTAAAGGTCTTTTTGGGGCAGCTGCAGCTTATCCAACTTCTGCTGATAAGCAGCTTCTCCTGCTAATCTGCTAATGAACAGTTTATCCGGATAAGCTGTATGACTGTTTGATTGACGCTTATGGAAAACAGTTGATTCTGGAAAATTTGACATTCTGCCCTGTTCTGAATAAGTTGTTTAGTTGTTTGGTTAGTGCATTTTGTAAACAGCTTATTTACAAATTTTGTTTAATTAAATGAATAATCTGTGTAGCAAAATTTGTTATTTTCTCAACAAAATTAAATATCATTGTTCAGACAAGAAAATACAAAAAAGTTGATTTATATTTATATAACTAAAACATATCTGATCACATCAAACGAATATGTTACACATACAAAAGTCAAATGCACATGCACATACTACTACAAAGTATAATGAGAATGCTATACTGATTTAGAAAGTGTAATTAATAGTTTTTGAGTGTAGGAGCATAAATTAGGGGTTATTCTTTGAATAAATAAAAGTGGAAATGCTTAACTCAAAAGAGGAGTATTAGATATTAGAAAATAGGTCACTAATCCTCACCACCATTTGCACCATCTGGACTGGCACTTCTAGTTGCATTCTCTTCTCAAATGAAGAGCCTTATATCTCATAGATTTATGCATTCATTTCCCAACTTTACATGTCATTCATAGCTGTATACATTGCTTATTATTCCCCAATAAATCTCATATGAACACACCATTGAAATGGGAAGTAAAAAAAAAAAAATTTTTAAGAGTCCCTACACAGACATTGCATTAATCTACCTTATTGAAGTGACCAGAAATGCTATGGGTTCTCAATATTACTAATTTGTATATTATACAAGGATGCCTTCAAAATAGGACTAGTGAATTCATGTGGTCTTTTTATAACAAGTGTTTTGGGCATGTGACTGGTGATATAAGTAAATACTTAACACTAAAATCTAAAAGGGAATAAAAAGTGACTTGCTGAAAATAATTTACAAAAGGTAATTGGTGGTATTCATATTAGTAATGTTTATGTGATTAATTTCCAAAATGTGAGAAGATCTAAAAAATTTGTTGTCTCAAAATCAGTTTCGATGAATCTTGGTTGTTGCAAAGGAAACTGTCATTTTAGTATGAACACCCTTAAAAAAGTAATAGAGATACCTAAACTAGAATTTATAAATGCCCAAAAATGTTATGTTTGTTATCATGGAAATCATGTTAGATCATCCTTCCATTCTACTAATAATTTAGTCACAATTAAACCCTTATTTATTTTATGTATGGGTCCATTTGGATCACTAAACACCACTAGCTTAGAAAAAAAAATTCTTATAGACATCTAAATGTAGATGAATTAGCATGATTTTTATGGGTGAAATTACTAAGATATAAATGTAAATCATATGCTATTTTTAAAATATTTGTTGTATGGGCAAAAAATTGGTTATAATATTACAACTATTCATTGTGATCAATGTGGAAAATTTAAAAATGAGAAGTTTGAAATATTTTGTAAAGAGACTAGCATATTTCAAAAAATTTCAACCCTCAGGACACCACAATAGCATAGGGTAGCTATGAAAAAAAATAGAACTCTTATAAAAGCTACTAGTTCAATGTTAAATGGATACAAGCTTTTTAAATACTTTTGGGTTGAAGCAACACTGTTTGTTATGCGTTGAATAGAGTAAATGTGAGACTTAAGTTTAAAAAACTTTATAAGGGGAAGAAGAAACCAAATTAACTAGCAAAATAGTTAATTTCATATGACTTCAGACTCCCGTTTCGTCGTTTGTGGATCACTCGAATAAATGCGGTAACTCGTGAGGATAGGCTATTCTATCTATAGTTATAGCCTCTTCACCCACAATACCTCCTCCGGTTTTCGGTTGTGGCTACGGACCGTAGCTGGAATTGAGATCTCATTCAAAGAGAAAGATTTTCATGACTCCAAACTTGTTTAATGTCCTAAAATAGTTCCAGTCTGAAGGTCTCTCTTGCCTTAACCAAATTAACTAGCCTTACATTTTACCCTTGCTCATCAATTCTGAAGGCAGCCATCGTTCATTCAAAAACTCATACGTCATTTGAATTTAATGGTTCATTCACCATTGTCATTGCACAGACTACCAAATAAAGTGGCCTGCATAATAACACTTATGCAGGGAGAAAAAAACAAATAAGGGGAAGAAAAAACCAAAAGAAATTGAGCCAAATCAATGTAAGGATATTTAGTCCCCAAAAAAAAATGAATAAAATAACAATCAATGACTCACAGAATTATTGAAGGGAAGAAGAAGACAGATTTTTACTTCGAAGAAAAATCGATACAGATCGTTCTTCGCTCCTCTGATATATGTATCCACCTTACCAGGCTGGTCCTGAATTGTCTTCGCGAGTACCTAGGAAGGGAACGACGAGATCGTGGCTTACCAAGGAAGGGAACGACAGGATCGCGGCTACCTAGGAAGAGAACGACGGGATCGCGACTTACCTGGGAAGGGAACGACGGGATCGCGGCTTACCTGGGAAGGGAACGACGGGATCGCGGCTTACCTGGGAAGGGAACAACGGGATCGCAGCTGCCTGGGAAGGGAACAACGGGATCGCGGCTTACCTGGGAAGGGAACGACGGGATCGTGGCTAACATAGACCGAAACTCCCATCTTCATCCTTGTGCTCCGCTCCTATCAGAAACACTTGTTCGTGCGTTCTTTCGAGGTCAAGGGCAGTGAAGTAAAGAATCTTGAGCAAACACGGAACGCGAGGTCGACCCCGCGTCCCGCGTTTATTAAGAAATTTAATACGTTGTTTTAAAAACGCTGAGGGAATGCGCAAACCAAACACAAAGGCGGTATTTTCAAAAACACCGTCGCACTTTTAAGCTGCACTAAACGAAGCCTAAGACCTCACTAAAAATGAGGTCAACAACAATCTGCTTCGCACGATTGCTTCGATGTGTCGCGTGAAGTCTCCTCTGTCACGATCCAAGCCACCGAAACCTGTAGCCTAGCCGACAATCTTCATTCTTTCCTGTGCCCGAAAATTCTGTCCTCCAACCTCGTTCTGATATCACTTGTTGAGATATTAGGGTGAAGAAAAATTAGAATTGACACAAATCCAGAAGAACACAAAGATTTAACGAGGTTCGGCAAAAATGCCTACGTCCTCAGAAGCAGAGCGGCGATTCCTTTCAATATTTAGAAAATGGTTACAGAATTCAAGGATACCTCCTGGTGTTACAAATAGACTTATTTATAACCCCAGGAGTAAACCCTAAGTAAAATATGTAATTACAACATTACCCCTGTACCATATAGCGAGGTGTTGACCCCGCACCCCTAACCCACATAACGTAACTTCCCGATTTGGACAGATTCTTCCGCTCCGCTTCGTTCTAGCATCTGTCCCTATATGGTATATGAGTCATACCAAAATATTAATGCATAGTAATGAATATAGATCATTCAAGCTAATGGGTTGCAGTTGGGTATGAATTGCAGTTTTGAAAAATAAATATGCAGGTGTTAACCAATTCAGTGTAGAGAATCATATCTTCCTGATCAATGTGAGAACAAGCAACTATTAGATTTCCCACCAACGCCTAAATTTCTGAAATATATATTCATTGTGTTATTTTTCATTGTATTGATATGTGATGAAGCTCATTCTTCAGCTGGGTCACCGTTGATCTGTTTGAAGGTTGTAATCTCCTTTCAATTGGCTTCCAGATGTCTAAAGAAGTCCGAAGATGCAAAACATATGGTAGGATAGCTGAGTAGTAGAATACAAAGCCGCTGACAAATTTTGATTAAAATGAATCCAGGATGTATATTAAGGATTTATGGTTACTGATCAAAAAAATTATTGGCAGTGAAGATCTTAAAATTCTAAGCCCTCCAAATAGGATAATTTTCTGTTGTTAATTGGTTCTGAGCGAATTGTTTCACGTGAGAGCAGAAATTTAAGAGACGGTGGAATGGTAGTATTTAATGTAGAGTGGAAGACAGAGGTTCAGAAGTTGCAGAGTCCTCCATTAGAATTAAGATTCAAAAGAAAAAGGGAGAAGTATCTTAGGGAGAGACACGAGAAAACCTTGAACCTACTCTAATACCATTAAGACAAATTTCAAAAGGAACAAATGCAGAAAAGCTTAATTTCATTCACAGATAACAAAGATACTTCAGCATTGATCCCAATAGACATATATATAAGAAGAAAGGAAACTCTAGAAAGGGAATCAAGTTAATTAGCTGTTTCTTGAGCTGGCAGCAAGTGTTTCTAATTCTGTTCTAGAGAGTGGAAGACCTCTTTGTGAATTGTCAGTCTGTTTGTCAGACTTGCTGCAATTAAGAATAACTTTAAAAAATTAAAAAATCATCACGCCTTAATAAAAATCAATTAAAATTCTCGCTATTTTATATGAATAAATACCTCCGTTGAAAGAGCTTTGGTTCAAACAAAGAAATATAAAAATATGCAATAACTTCAGGGAAACTCGTAAATTTCTGAGAGATGGAATAAAACGAACACACTGGCATAATAAGCGATAATATTCCATTCACAATGAGGTAAGTCAGGTTTATGTCAGTTGCCGCAATGACGGCAAGGACACCACCATCAATGATATAAATCTATATGGAAACCTGCTTTACAAAATAAGACACAAGGAAAAAAAAGGGCTCATTAACAGCAACAGACCATTGTCCGAGTTGCATTTATATCTGGACTAACCGGGGATGAGATAAAGATGGGACTATCATATCTCTGTTCGCACAAACCCACTGCCGTGGTGTCTCTATGTCATCTCCTGCAATGGTAGGAATATGCCAGCTACCTCTTTCTGATTCCTGCATCCAGCAAATATAACAATTAACAAACTCATGTATAAGATATGTAGTAATGTTTGGCGTTAAAGTACTCGCATTTTCCATTGAGATGTACATAAGGCACATTTCGTGTCACTATCACTATGTAATTTGCAGAGCCAATACCTCATGAAATACCTATTCCGACAATGCTCATGAGAATATCAGTCGTACACAAACATGTTACAAGCCAAGTAGAATGAGGATTTGGATCCTCAACAATTACTAAAGGTCTTCATAAGGTTGTGTGGAATTAATATTGGTCATCCAGACCACATTAGATGGCAAAGATAGACATGTAACAATAAATTGTGCAATTACGTTGGAATAGGAGAGCACCAAATTCGTACAATGATGAGAATCCCATGCAATTTGCAGTCCAAAACTTCCATAAATTCTCCAAATGGTACCTAAACTGTGGGAACTCGTTCGCACCGATTCAAAAAAAGTGTAAGGAGAGTGAAAAAGCAAATACAAATGGAAAAAGGAATTTAATTGAAATTAGTTTTCACATTGAGCGAACCCTCTTTTTTTATTAGAACAGATTTTATTTTATTTTTACTAAGATTGAGCAAAAAATTGTCCATGAATAACATAAAATTATTAGATAAATCCAAAGGATGGTGTTGGGGGTGAGATCAAAAGTAAAACTGGAAGAAATATAAATATGGTGTCGGTGGTGAGATTGTTGTTGTGGTTGTTCAATTGAAGTTGTATGATTTCATGAAATGTATTGTGTGCGTATGTGTTTGTATGTGGAGGAAGGAGAAAATGATATTTTTGTATGTAAATGATTGGAATGTGTGGAAAGGAAAAGCAAGTTCGTATGAGAACTTCATGCAGGTGTGCTAAAATCAGTCTCCCCTCCCGGAAGGTATACATTCACAACTAAAGCTCCTGAAATGTTTATTGTGATGCATTTGATGAATTGAGCGAAATCCTATACAGGCTTTTTGTAGCATAATAGGTTGAAACTGGTACATGACGCTTGTAGTGTAGTGGACAATTCAAATATTAAATACCAATACGTGCCTTCATAGTGCGATGGGGAAATATGCAAATGTATAAAGGTAAACTATATGTGCTTTTCGTAGCGTGGTAGGTGTCGAATATTAGGTCGTGGTGTTTACACCACCCATATACCCTTTTCGCAGCGTAGCGGGAAGACTCAGACTCCCGATAGAACCCCCAATGAGGGATGACGTCAGGAGAATGCTAAGGTATTGTCAAATTTTAGGGTAAATTTAAAAGACAATAAAATTTGAGTTGAGCTTAAAATAGACTTATAATGATTTAAATGAAACTTACATTAAAACTTAAACAAGTGCAATGATTGAAAAAAAAAAATAAGAAAAAAGTGTAAAATGTGAAAAAAAAAAAACAAAAGACATAAACACTTAATTGAAAAAGCTCAAAAGCTCCAAACCAAGCAGGGACAGTAAAGTATCCCTACTGTCGAGAGCTTCAAGGCATGAAATGAACAAGCCAAAAACTTCTAGTTAGAGAAACAAAAAGATGCTTATGCAGGGCCCGCTATGATTAAAACTCCGACATGCAAACAAATCTTGTCGCCCATATTAATGCTAAAACTTTAACCCACGAGCAAACAAAGCTTGTTGTCATGCACACACAAATAAATCATACCGCCCATATTAATGTCAAAGCTTTAGTGCACATAAATCCAAATATTGTCATTGGATCCGCAATCCACCTACACCAGCGGACATAAAGCGAAATCAAAAACTTCAATGAAATCTTTTTACATCATTTAGTGTTAATACATTAGTACAGACCATAATAATCACCTAAAAGTTGATCTAAAATTTTCGCATGTGCTCCAACATGTCCCTAAATACTCAAACTCGTGCGTTTGAGAAAGTTGGGTGATTTGATCACATGCTTGAGTTACAATATAAATTGCCTAGAGAAGCGTGCACATATATGAAAGATGCAAAAATCTAATTTTTAAATGTCAAATGCAAGCCTACGTAATTACATGCGCTCTCAAGCAGGCAGCCTTGTCTATACGGCAAGATTGTAAGTCCCACGTTTTGGCTAGTTAGATCCTCCATCCCATAGGTACTAGGGTTAATACGATTGAGCTCTCACTGAGCCAATAGGATATTCCTCCACATAAGAATTGAAGTTAATAGAACTAGTGCTTTATTGTGATGATTAATAAATAGTATTATGTGATGATGTCTGTGTTAATAGTATATCGCAATCGGAGATGTATGGTTTCAAAATCAAATCCCAAAATCTATTTTTAAAAATCAAATAATATTATACACTTGAACCTAGTCCTCTGTAAGCGGGACAGACTCGACAGGGTTCGAAAAGATCAATTCCCCGATGATAGGCGAGTTGATCGTGAATTTCAACAGGAGTGGTGTATTTTTAATTTTAAGCTCCAAAGAATATTCAAATAAATTTAACTAATGTAAATCATGAACTTGATCTTCTGTGAACGGAACAGAGTCAACGTGGTTCAAAGACACCGTTCCTTGATGATAGGCATATTTATTGCACATTTTAACTGTAGGGGTTTATTTATAAAAAAAATTCAAATCATAAAAAAATTAAAAAATATTTAAGTAAAATAAACCACTTAATGCTTAAAGAAAAATACATTTGCACTTCAAAACTGTTTGTCGAGGTGGATAAATCTAATACTGACTCGATCTCACAAAAGAGTCAATGTCATGTCAAATATACTACTAAATTCAAGCTCAAAACAATCTAATGTCAGTAAGGATATGGCCCGAGTCATATGTCCGCATGGTTTGGCCATCAAAAGACGTCACAAAAAGCGGTTACGACTAGAGCCCTCTGATTCTGACGTTTGTCGTTAAATGTTACCATTATGTTACTGTCGCAGTTGTGGACCGTAAGTTCTCCAATGGCATTGTCTTTTTTAAGTTAGAATCATAAGATATATTTGATATGAAACGTAAGTAGACCTAGAACCTTGATGACCCAAGATGACCGAACTATGAAATCCTGAATGATTTATCAATTTTTCCCCCACCATCCGGTTTCTGCTAACTTTGATAATTTTTATAATTTTCAAATTGTAAATTTGCAACTATTATATGCAAAGTTCAAATAGTTAGAAATTAATGACTAGCCTTAATTGAAAGCGCTCTCCCATTTTGGAAGGAGTAATTAATCATAGGAACATGCACCTATGATTAACCTCAAATCCAAGATCTTGATGTACTTCAGAAAATGAGGGCAAAATCTCTAGGCAGTGTCTTATCTACTCATCTGTCATCTGAAAATTTGACCAAAAATTTAACTTGTAAAGTTCTTGATGAGAGTCTGACTTTCGAATTTTCGGAACCCATTGTCGGTCACCTCTGATTCTGACGTTTGTCGTTAAATGTTACCATTATGTTACTGTCGCAGTTGTGGACCGTAAGTTCTCCAATGGCATTGTCTTTTTTAAGTTAGAATCATAAGATATATTTGATATGAAACGTAAGTAGACCTAGAACCTTGATGACCCAAGATGACCGAACTATGAAATCCTGAATGATTTATCAATTTTTCCCCCACCATCCGGTTTCTGCTAACTTTGATAATTTTTATAATTTTCAAATTGTAAATTTGCAACTATTATATGCAAAGTTCAAATAGTTAGAAATTAATGACTAGCCTTAATTGAAAGCGCTCTCCCATTTTGGAAGGAGTAATTAATCATAGGAACATGCACCTATGATTAACCTCAAATCCAAGATCTTGATGTACTTCAGAAAATGAGGGCAAAATCTCTAGGCAGTGTCTTATCTACTCATCTGTCATCTGAAAATTTGACCAAAAATTTAACTTGTAAAGTTCTTGATGAGAGTCTGACTTTCGAATTTTCGGAACCCATGACCTCAAAAATATTCACTAGCAACACCCCTCTCGCATGCAAAATTTTGAATACCGTATGTGACGATGAAGTGAGGAAAATGTGACAATAGCTCAAAAAATAATGCATCAGAGGGCATAACGGCGTTGTGATGTGATGCCTCATTTCAGATACCAGAGAAAACAGAAGAGTGGAAGATGAAACTTGGGGGTCGATAATTCAAAGAGGTGAGTTTGTTCTCTAAAACGATGCGGAGGAGGGAGACAGAGGCGAGATCGTGATATCAACTTGGAAAGTTGACCGACGCGAAATGAAAGCAAGAGGGCTTCCTAATAGCCAGAGGCAGCAACATCGACGGATGACGACGTCCCTATAGAGCAGAGAGAAGGCGGCCTTAGTGTTAAGCAAAAGAGGCGAGACGCTCAACGAGGACAGCGAAACTTGAGGATGTATCGACGTCAAGCTTTTAGCAGTTTGGTGCAAAGGAGGAACAAAGTCGAGTCTCAAGCAAAGAGAAGACGGATCACATGCTTGAAGGGGGCCTTCAACCGAGATTAAAGGGTCAGCCTATTAATTAAGTTATCTAATAAAGATTATATATATAAGTTTATTAAGTAAATGTTAAACTTAAGGACACTTGATTCGGGCTATAAAGGTTTCCATTCTCGATTGAAGAAAGGGTGTTGCAAGAAAAAAAGGTTAAGGGTTGATTTATTTAAGTTTTGTTAGTTTATTAAGTCTAGGAACTAATATATGAATTCTATGAAATTAGTAATAATAATAATAAATTATTACAGAATATAAATATAAATATACAATCTTAAAGTATAATTGAAAAGTTATAAATTACACAAAGTGATTAGAAAGTTAAATAAGGACCAACTTTTTGTTATCAATATTATATTTAAATTGTTTGAAAGAAATACTTAAATTTATATTATTAAATAAAGATACTAATTTTAAAATAATAAAAGAATTACTACTATATGATACATCAATATAATAAATTAATAATGATTATTTATGCATTTGACTTTAAGTACTCATTGGAGATAAATGAGAGAATCATTGACTAGAGAATCATTAGTATTAAAGATGAGTACTCATACTCTGATACTATGGTAATATTTTGTTTATTCTAGACCAAATGCTCTTACGGTTAATGTCATTAATTATATTGAAATCACAGCAAACTTATAATTTATGATTCTATTGAATTTTTGTTAATATTATAGAAACAATGTATACCTAACATTTTTTAAAATTATCATAGATATTGAATGTTATACAAGTATATTGATTGTTACACAAATGAAAATAAAATAATCACTAATAAAAAGTGAATTTTATACTATGATTGCATGTACATGCTTGATTATGATAGTTGATACGTCACCAACAAATTTTCATCATCCGGCATGAATCTCGATGCATGACACGAATCTCAAGACAATATTTTAAACAGAAAATATTCAAATCTTGATAAAAAATCATCCAGAGCTTCGATTTCAGCAAACTTATAGTCAAACTGACAGGCTTGATGAGACGGACCTAATAATATGAAAATTAGCCCAATCCAAGTCAAATCAAGCCTAGATCAATTCATTGAACCACACTTAGATTATTTTCGGGCACATTTGGAAGGTCAAACGGTTGTCAAATATGACAAGTTTATTCTCGAATCGAGCGATTCGATTAGACAAATCCAACGAGCCCAAGATCACTCAATTCTTACACATTAATGCACTCAAATGTCCATTAAACATCACATGATCAACGGAAGTTCTCCAGATCGTCTGATCAAAATGATTCACATTTCTGAAAATTTCACAATCATGTTCGTTAAAAACCCTTCTTTTGAATTCATGAAAATAAAAAATTCCTAATTTTTATCGAGTTTTCTTAAGTGATCCGTTCGCTTAAAATGTAATTAACTATAAGGGTTTGTCCTTATAGGGAACTTAAAAGAACCCAGACTTAAAATAATCGCTTTTGACTCTCATATCGAATAAGGGAATCTATCGGTCATCATGCAAACTTGCGATCAAACGGAAGTCATTTATTTCTATAGTTTATTTAAATTGAGCTTATTATCAAATAGTGCATTACCTTTCAGGATGATACATTACTCATGGCTAGCTCAATTATTCAAACTGTAGGAATCAATGGGATTAGTTTGATCCCATTTTCCTCAAATTAAAACACCTAATTTCTAAATACTATACTACATTAAATTAAACTGCATCCAGCCGTATGGCGACCGACATACCATAACGGTTATAATTTGGGTGACGGCTACACAAATATAGCATAATATAGATGTATTACTGATATAGTAAAATCAATTGAATAACACGAGAATAACACAAAATAGTGTAACTAATCATATTAAATATGTTATACTGATTTATTACAAGTATAACTAACATGTATGTTGCTTTCTTTTTTCCTATATTACTACAGTTTAAGAGTGTGAGCATTCACTGGCTTTGATTAGCTCACTGTTATTTTAAGTTAATTTTTCAGGTGTAATTAAGTAATTTAAAAGAGTTGCGATAGAAGGGTAGTGTTTATAGAATATGCGAATAACATATAATGAAGTAAATTTAATTATACTACCTTAATTTAATTTCTTTAGTAGATCTTTCAATTATTAAATCGTAGTTATTGAAAATAAATATAGAAAACATAATTTCCTCCATCGGAACGTCTTTACCCACCTTGGTTAATTTCAAACTCGGGTCGGATCGTGACATGTAAAACGGGAACAACTCCAAGAGCTTGTGATAAAAAAAAATAACGACAATTGCGAGGTGTAACAAGCATAAAGTTGTGCATAAGAGATCGTTGTATAACACATGAATAGTTTTTATGGCATATAAAGAAGATCATGGTGAGAGTTCACCAACAATAACTCATTCGAGCAAAATGTGAAATAGAAGAGGATCTTGTAAAACTTAGAGCTTATGCTAAAAGCCGCCCAGAGCCGAAATTCACAGAATCTAGGACTATGATAAGACAGAGAAATGGGATTTAAAGGTTATATATGGAGGTAGCAAGTGAAAAGTTGATGCCATGAAGGCCACACAATATATGTTGAACGAAGTTATCTTCTATGTTCTAAAATAATTAAATCATTATCAATTATAAAGTGTCACTCCTATTTTACTAAAAATCAAATTGGAGGATTATTTATTTATCTAACTACATGTCAATTGCAAATATCTTATGATAAGCTTAAGAATAGAACTTGAAGAATGTATAGCAGCTATCCTGTTCATTTTTGACATATAATTTTGTACGGATATTGTGCTTGCTTAAATTAGACTTTAGAACTGAAATTTATTTTATTATTTTTTTCGTATTTCATAGTTCATGCTTTCTAATTTAAGAAGTATAAAAATATAGAAGTTAAAGAATTTATGCGCTGTGATAGGTTAAACACCTCACCGTAAGCCTCTGACATTTAAAACATTGATACTAACAATGTTTCATGATTTGGCCAATATATCATCAAATTCATGAGTTTTGAATGGAGCGCCTGTATAAAATCCCTATAAGCTATATGGCGTTCGCTTTGCAACCAATCAAGTAGGCCCACAAATTTGGATTACTGAAATCAAAAGTCGTTTGTGATGAGTAAACATTTTTTGAATCGTTGGAAAATTTCAAGAAAACACAGATTTTTATTCCATTGCCATGTATAAAACAACAAGTAAATTATACGAGAATTATTTCATGTATGTCACCTGAATGACAATTGAATATGGTGGCGGCAGGTGAAAAGTTGGGCCATCCCTGGAAACTGTAAGCCTCACCTGCCAAAATTAAAATCGCCCGTTAAAGCTCACTAGATTATTAACAAGTATAGAAACAAAGCATAACATGTTCAATGTAGATGATTCTGAATTCCAAAATAAGGACAAAGACATGAATTATATTTCTGCACATGTTCAAAACGACTCAAAAGTGAATGTGATGACCGAAATTAGATAATAAGAATGAGCTCGCAAGTGTTTATGCAATAGTAAACTTGTCAATATTTGGCATTTGAAAGGAGCCCATAGCAAATGTTAAGCAGAAACTAGAAATAAAATCAGCGCTACATATCTTTATGGCTCATAGCATAAGAAACTGAATCTGCTAATTCAGTAAATATCAAAAATGAACCAACACGAATCTCGAGGAGAAATGATTGGAGATAAAGAAAATGAATTATTCGTGCGAACGATCGATCAGTTTCCAAGGCCAACCAAATGAAAAGAATGAATGACCCGACATTTACCGCACATCCGCATCAGCACCTATTTCCCGATAATTTCCAGCATGAAAATTAGTAGTCGCCTGGGATGAAGACTTCAGTATAGACACATAGACTGAAACTAGATTGTTTGTTAGACTACGGTGATTCACGCTCTGACCGATGAGTAATTCATGTTAAGAAGTGTGGAGCCCGGTCCACTTCTTTCCTGGAGACAGTTTCGGTTTATTTGGATGTTATTAGAAATTAATTGCTTCATTAAGTTATTTCCATCAGAAGCTTACCTGTATCTTCCATGTTTGGTCTCCCGCTAATCTTCCCTGCTCGCGAATAGCTCTCCTGCCTCCCTGCTCACGTGGTCCCGCCATCTCTCACGCAGAAACGAGTTTAAGGATCTCCTTCTTTAGCTTTTTTTCTTATTATATAAAGGCCAAGCAAAAGCCTGCCAAGACAATCTCCCAAAACTCCTCTTTTGCTGAAGCATTAAGGAAAAGAAAAAGAAAAGCTTCTCTTTTGGTTTTCCTTTTCCTTGGCTTGTGGAACAAGAAAATTTTCTTGTGTTATTTTTTCTTACTTCACTTGGCTTTGAGAGAGAGAAAGAGAGAGAAGAAGAGGAGAGCAAGGAGAAGTGAGGAGAGGAGAGAGAGAGGAAGAGAGATTTTCTTGTAATCGTCGAGGTGATTGACGATGTAAATCCTCGAAGCTAATTAAATCCTCTGCAGCTCCGTGGACATAGGCAATTCGCCGAACAACGTAAATTTGTGTTCCATTGTGTTTTCTGTTTTGCAATTTTTCTCGATACAGTTTTTCATTTTATTGTCATCGTTTTTCACAACAACTGGTATCAGAACTTTGGTTCGGATCTAAGAACGATGGGCGGAGACGAAGAGATGGCATCTGGGATCGAGAAGTTCAATGAAACAGATTTTGCTTGCTGGAAGATACGGATAGAGGACTACCTTTATGGGAAGAAACGTAATATTCCGCTATTGGAAAGAGTCGGAAAAAATGGGCGAGATGGAATGGAGTTTTTTGGATCAACAAGTTCTGAAGGTTATTCGATTAACTCTGTCGAGATCGGTTGCCCGCAAAGTCATCAAGGAGAGGACTATTGCAGATCTCATGACGGCTTTATCAGGTATGTATGAAAAGTCAGCGGTGAATAACAAGGTGCACTTGATGAAAAAGTTATTCAAGTTGAAGATAGTAGAAGATTTGTCTGATGCGCAACATTTTAATGATTTCAATGCTATCACAAATCAATTGTCTGTTGAAATTGATTTTGATGATGAGATACGTGCGCTGATATTATTAGTTTCATTATCAAATAGCTGGAAAGTCATGAGAATGGTAGTTAGCAGTTCTGCAGGTAAACCTAAACTGAAATATGATGATATTTGTGATTTGATTTTGGCTGAGGTGCGCAGGAAAGATTATAGTGAGACCTCAGGTTCGAGTTCGGCATTGAACATTGATTCCAGAAGAAGATCACATAGCAGGAACTCAAACAGTGGAAGATCAAAATTAAAAGCAGGAAATCAGTTGAAATCGTGGCAAGGCTGGCCACATAAAAAGTAACTGCAGCAGGAACTCAAACAGTGGAAGATCAAAATTAAAGTCTGGTAAGCAGGAAATCAGTTGGAATCGTGGCAAGGCTGGCCACATAAAAAGTAACTGCAGAAATCCTAAAAAGAATGAGAATAGAGCGCAAATGTGGTAGCTGAAGAGATACTGGATGAGCTATTGCTGGAAATACAAAGTTCTGTTGATAACTGAATATTGGATTCAGGGGCTTCCTTCCATACATCTTCCCACCGGAAGTTAATGTGGAACTATGTTGCAGGTAACTTTGGGAAGTTATATCTGGCTGATGGAAAAGTTCTGAAAGTTGTGGGAATGAGAGACATTGATATTGCACTCCCTAACAAGAGCAAAAGGACTTTGCAAAAGCTCAGACACGTTCCTGAGTTGAAGAAAAACCTTATTTCTATTGGGCAACTCAATGAGGGTGGTCATTAAGTACTGCTCTCAGATAGCACCTGGAATGTTATCAAATGAGCATTAGTACTAGCCCGGGATAAGAAAATTGACATATTATATATTACTGCAGGTTTACTCAGACGTGGAAACATGAGTCAGAGATAAATTATGGGGAAGCGGAAGAGCGCGCCAAAGGCAGGAAAACCTAACATTGCACAAACAGATGATGGAGAACCACAAAGCTAAACTTACAAGATAAAAATTCGAGCAAGTGGGAGCTGGCCAAGGAGGAGACGGATTCCCTGCCAAAGTATCAGACGTGGGAGCTGACAGAACTTCCACAAAAAAAGAAGTCATTGCACAACAAGTGGGTGTACTAGGTGAAGTCTGTGTTTGATGGCAGTAAGAGGTGCAAGGCTAAACTTGTTGAAAAGGTTTTCAACTGAGACAGGATATTGCCCATACAGTGAGAGTTGTTAACAGAGACAAGAGTAACACAAGAAAGAGCTTAAATGTACAAAACTACGTTGAAGTTGATATATCGACTGAGGATGTTACTCTTGAAAAACTGAAGTTGTGCTCGAATTCAGCTGGTCTTCTGACATGAAAACTGGGGTTTTGAGTTGTAGGGGTGAAAGATATCATGTTTGAGGAAAAGGTCGGTACAGCCAACAGTTGAAGCAATCAGTGTTTCAGACTCTAAGTGGGAGAATTGTTAAGAAGTGTGGAGTTTTGTCCACTTCTTTCCTAGAGGCAGTTTCTTTTTATTTGGAAGTTATTAGAACTTAATTGCTTCATTAGGTTCCATCAGAAGCATACCCGTGCCTTCCATGTTTGGTCTCCCGCTCATCTTCCCTGCTCGTGAACAGCTCTCCCGCCTTCGTGCTTACGCGATCCTGCCATCTCTCACACGGAAACGAGTTTAATGATCTCCTTCTTTAGCTTTTTTGCTTCTTATATAAGGGCCAAGCAAAAGCCTGCCAAGACACTCTCCCAAAACTCCTCTTCGGCTGAAGCATTAAGGAAAAGAAAAAGAAAAGCTTCTCTTTTGGTTTTCCTTTTCCTTGGCTTGTGGAACAAGAAAAATGTCTTTTGTTATTTTGTCTTCCTTCCCGTGGCTTAGAGAGAGAGAGAGGAAGAGAGAGAAGAAGGGGAGAGGAAAAGGAGGTGAGGAGAGAAGAGAGAGGAAGAGAGAAAGAGAGTTTTTTGTAATCGTCGAGGTGATCGACGGCGTAAATCTTTGAAGCTAATAAAATCTTCTGCAGCTCCGTGGACGTGAACAATTTGCCAAACCATGTAAATGTGTGTTCCATTGTATTTTCTATTTTGTAATTTTTATCGATCCGATTTTTCGCTTTATTGTCGTCGTTTTTCACAACAATTCTACCCAAGGGCAATGTGTCTTCCCCTTCAACCTCCACAGAATGGGTAAATGAAGATTATTTAAGCCAACCATAGGATTTTAGGGCGGCTGAATGAATCCTGGTCGACCGAACAAACTCCAAGCAACCGAATTGGGCAGTTACGAATGTTGAGTGTTTATAACAATTTCAGAAATACTGTGGTGCTAACAGCGGTTATGGGGACAAAAAATAATGATATTCAGTTAGAAATACGTAAATGTAATGACTCATTAATTATAGTAATATTCTCTTTTAAATAAGGGCAGTCATATAACTTATGAGATCTTACATATGAATTATAAATAGGATGATCACTCTCAAAAAGAGGGACCCCAAACGGAATTCTTACTAAAAAGTACAAAGTGTTCAAATCATCTCTTTTTTCCTTTTTTCATCAAACAAATGCTTTATTCCTTAGGTGAGATCCATGGGACAATTTAGGATCTAGCATCCTAAAAGGTGCGGTGCACATGGAATCATGTTTTCTATAAGACGAGGAGCATGTTAGGTTGAAGGAAAGCATCAAAAACCTCCAACTTGGATTCTATTCGAGAATTTGTGCAACAAAAAATCCAAGCACTCCATGAACGGATTGTCGGACAAATTGTCGAGCTGGCACGAGCGGTGCAAGAGGGAAGGGCACAGCCTCTCCTGCAACCTGATTCACCAGCACCCGAACCTCCGATTCAACAAGCGGCCTCGACAGCCATGCGAGTGGAAGTCCCAATACCAAATCCACGTAAACAGGGGGAACCTCAGCCAAAAGTGATAGAAGTCTATAGCAGGACGAAGAATGCATTCACCAAGCATATTGCAGAAGCCAAGCCACCGGAGAAGTTTAAGGTTCATGCCTCGGAACCATATAAAGGTCATAGCGACCCTGTGACCATACTGCGTCCTTTGAGTCGCAACCTATCTTCTCAAGATCTCCAATACATTGAAATGTCGATTACTCCATACCAGTGAGACATTCTGCTCTCAGATGGTTTAACAGACTTCCCGTAAAAATTATTAATTCCTTTAGAAACTTCAAGAAGTTTTTGTCGCAGTTAGCTAGCGCCCAAATGGTGCGAAAGGATTCAGATTCTTTGCGGTATATAAAACAAGGTCCAAATAATAGCCTGCGATCATATGTTACAAGGCTCCAGTAGGAGATAATCAAGATTCGAAAACT